TATACCAAAGAAATTTGAAAATAAATACAATTATGGCATTCGATAATGTCCCCTTTGCTGAGGCTAGGAAACTAGTCGCTGAATATAGGGTAGGTGATGCTCCTCCTCCTCCCCGTAAAACGAAAGAAAATTTCCCAAAGATTGGTGAACAGAGAGAGAACTCGTTTGCAAGCATCGCTTCGCCGAAAGAAGGCCCACCGACTCGCAATAGAAGAGCACAGTCGGCTACAACGAAAGTGACATTAGATCAACCAACACAACCACAAACTCAATCTCAATCTCAACTCATTGAAAGTGATGAAGAGGGCGCTAAAGAAGACGCTCGATCTCAATGGGAACTAACATACAACGACTCGATAGGTACAGACAACGGCTGCTCCCAGCTATCAAATGATGAAGACAAGGAAAACAACAGCGTATTGACACCTAATGTTAATAGAGATACTATACCGACGCAAGGTACCAAAAAAAAAGGTAATATACCAGTACAAGCAAAACTTAACAAAACTATTAAAAAACTTAAAGAAAGAATTGAAAATGAAAATGCGACTAATGAGTATATTTCTGATAATATCAAAAATTACCGTAAGAATCAAAATAAGCCAAATAAAAAGGAAAATTAATTAAAATATTTTCCAGATTTCTTAATTTTTAGTCTATTACATTTTTGCATACAATCTAAATTTCAAATTTTACACTTTTGCATACAACTTAAATTTCAAAACTTTATTTCATTTTTACTAGATATTAAATACCACTCTTTTTTTTGTTTTTTTTTTTTTTTTCTCTCAACTTTTTTTTTTTTTTTTTTTTTTTATTCACGTAATTAAACAATTATTTTTCTTTTTATAATGGATATCTTAAAAAACATGAAAATTTTACAGTGGAATTGTAGATCGTTATCAAATAAGCTTTGTATACACAACTACGCAGTTAACTATGACATTATAATTATTAGCGAAACTTGGCTTAAAGAAGATAAAGCCTTTGTATTAAAAGGGTTTAATACCCTTAGGTATGATAGAAACATAAATCAGGGAGGAGGTTTGGCATTTTTCATAAAAAAAAATATCTTATATAATAAAATTGATTTCAATTTGAACTCTACAAGTCTAGAAGTTGGAGCCGTTTTGGTGTCCACTAATTTGGGCGACTTAGCCATTATTTCTTGCTATAGATCTCCCAAACAGGGGAACGATTTAAAGCGTAATGAATGGCTTTTTTTACAAGAAGAGATAACAAAAAAATTTAATAACTTCTTATTAGTTGGAGACTTTAACGCTCATCACCCCTACTGGGGCAGTAATAGATACTGTACAAATGGTAATATCATTTTTAATGACACAGATTTTGACGAATTCTTTCTATTGAATAATGGCAAACCTACTCGCCTGGAACTATCTGATAAGGGTGTGACCCACACAAACATAGACTTATCTTTTACATCGATGAACCTAGCTTTTATAGCGAATTGGTCTGTTCTCGAGGACTCATGGGGTAGTGACCACTACCCTATTGAAATCTCTTTTAATTTATCAGTGAAAGAAAAAACTAGAAAAGACTATCGAATTAATTTAAAGATTATTAATTTCAATAAATTTTTCAAAATACTAGAAACAGAAAAAGATAAATTTAACAATTTAACGTTCACAAATGATACAGCTATAAGTAGATACTCTACTCTATTAGAGTTTCTTTACAGTTCCTTAGATAAAGCTAAATATAATGATAACCCAAAATTAGACAAAAATGTTAAATTTAAGAAAAAACAAAAAGAATGTATATGGTGGAACAACGTTTGTGATAAAACTAATCGACTACGGAACGCCTCTTTTAGGTCCGTCCATTATAGATGTAACCTAGAGTCTTTTATCAAACATAAGAAGTTAGAAGCTCAATGTACTAGAACTCTCAGAGAAGAAAAAACTAAATCCTTTCAGAATTTTTGTGCTTCCATTAATAGAAATACTAAGGTCTCTGACGTCTGGAGAAAGATTAGGGCATTTAAAAACGGTAGTAATAGACCAATTTCTTTAGAAGGCAACAAAAACTCCATAGAAAATGCGAAGGTTTGCCTAAACGATCTCTGTATTCCTAAAGACTGTAACTTATGTCCTCACGATAACTTAAATTCGTTCATTGATTCTCAATTTCCAATTTCATTAGGCGTAGAGAAGGATCACTTTATGGATCTTCCTTTCACGTTTGAAGAGCTTGAAAATGCTCTACACTCAGTAAACATCAAATCAGCTCCAGGAGCTGATAAAATTAGTTACGCGCTAATAATTGCCTTACCAGAATTTTATAAAAGAATCTTACTTGACCTTTTTAACGATTTTTATGATCAAGGCGACTTTCCTCAATCATGGTCTAATTACCTTATAAGTTTTATCCCTAAAAATAACAGCGATAAAGTACGTCCAGTATCTATGGCATCCTGTATACTCAAAACATTTGAACGAATGGTTAACAATCGTCTCACCTTTTGGCTAGAAACTAATAATTTCCTTTCACCTTCACAGTACGGATTTCGCAAAGGCAAATCATGTGCTGATAATATATCAATTTTAACAACACACATTCATCAATCTTTTTTTTTGAAAAAAAGTTTGGCAGCTTTCTTTTTGGATATTAAAGGCGCTTTCAATGAAGTAATTCCAGATATTTTAATCAATGACCTCATAGAACTTGGCCTCCCGAAAAAATTCATTATCTTCATAAAATTTGTAATTTTTAAAAGGGTTCTTATTCCAATAAATATTGATGACAAACTAAAATATACGGTTAACAAGGGACTCCCTCAAGGAAGCGTGCTTAGTCCAGTGCTATATGCTATCTATACCAGATTTTTGAAAACTCTCACTACACAAGGTGTAGAGATTTTGGAATTTGCAGATGACGTTGCTATTTTCACCCAATGCGAAAACCCACACCAGGGAGTTGAAAAATTGAAAACAGATATCGGAGTAATGCTCCCAGCTCTCAAGAACAAAGGTCTTGAATTAGCACTTAATAAATGCGACCTGCTTATTTTCAATAAAAATAATATTAACATAAAAAATATATCTCTTAATATCAGCAACGAAACTATTTTCCCAGTTAAAGAAGTAAAATTCTTAGGTATGATCTTAGATCAAAGGCTTAATTGGTCCAAACATATATCGTATTTGGTCCAAAAGAGTATATCATCAATGAGAATAATTAGTTGTCTAAGAAGGACTTGGTGGGGAGCGGATCCAAGTATTCTACTTCTCCTATACCAATCTCTGATAAGATCTAGAATTGAATACTGCGGATTTTTATTATCACCTTGCGCAAATTCACACTTAGAGAAGTTACAAAAAATCCAAAATACTGCTATAAGACTAGCCTTAGGTTATCAAAAGAGTACCCCTATTAATGTAATCGCTGGCGAATCGAAAGTGCCCTATCTTTCTATCAGATTCAAATTTCTAGGCAAAAAATTTTTACTGAAATGCATGTCAATAGAAAACAATGTAACAATCCAAAACATCGAAAAAATATTAGAATATGCTGAAAATTTCCAATTTGATTTCAACTATGAAAAATCTACCCTGGTTTCAAGTTATGAGGAATTAAGATGGCACTCGGATTCAATTATCAAATCAGATAAATTCTTTATGTTTTCTCAACCCTGGGAATACACCTTTGCCAACTTTTATATTGATATCACCTCTGGTAAGAAAATAATACAATCATCAAACCCCCTCAAAACATTCAATGAAACTTTTGAATCCAAAAATAAAGCAATAGATATATACACAGATGGTTCTAAAATGAATATTAACTCTAAAGTTTGTGTTGGATTTTCCTCATGGAGTTTATCACCAGAATATAAATTTTCATACAAAATACCTGATTCAGCCTCGATTTTTTCCGCAGAGACCTTAGCGATTTCCTTTTGCTTAGATAAAATAATTTCAGATCAAAATAATAATGTTTTTAGAATCTTCTCTGACAGTGAGAGTGCATTAAAATCACTCGATAACAATTTTAATATAGGCGCTTCATCTCCTCTTATTGCTCAAACGAAATCTAAGCTTTTACAATGTAGAAAACTGCATAAAGAAGTAAAGCTAATCTGGATACCTTCCCACAAAGGTATTCCAGGTAATGAAGCTGCTGACTCTGATGCCAAAACAGCTGCAGAAAACGGCATCTTGGCTAATGTTATTCTACCCTACACTGATTTCTTTAGTAAATATAAAATAGATTGTGAACAAGAAAACACTAATAGTTTACTTTCATCAAGCCTCAATAAAGGAATTTTTTATTTTAATAATTACTACACAGCATCAAAAAAACCTTGGTTTCACAAATTTTCTCATTTAACCAGAAAATCAATAACTACTCTCAATAGAATTAGAAGTGGCCACATGTCTTTAAACGCATATCTTTTTAAATTTAAGATTGTAGATTCTGACTTATGCCGTTGTAACAAAGAGAAAGAAGACGTTGACCACGTCTTTTGGCGATGTGAATTATATGTCAACGAAAGAAAGAAAATGCTCAACGAATTAAAAAAATATGTCAATACAGAACCAAAGACAATTGTACCTTTTCTTATCGATATGAATATACATGTCATAAATAGCCTATCAAATTTCATATTAGAAATAAAAATTAATATTTAATCCCGTTTCTCTAGATAATTAAGTTATTTATGTATTTATTTTTTTTACCATTAATGTTGTACTAATTATTACTAAAGTATTTCTGTATTTTATATGCGTTATCTAATTTTATATTGAAAAGCGATTTATTAATATTAATATTGGCGAAAATATATTTGTGATATGAAACTTTGTATTTATATTTGAATTTGTAGTTCAGCGCGCCCTCACCGGCGCCACTGTGGTGGTGTTGTGGCTCATATGATGTATACAGTTAAGCCAATAAAAATTTTCTATTCTATTCTATTCCGCTTGCGCTCATGCGCACTTGCCTATGGCATGGCGCTCTGGCGGGATAGAGCAGAATGCAATTGAGAATCTCTTAGCTCTTTGTTTTTGTTAACGCTAATGTCATCAATAGTTCTGCAATGCGTCATTTATAATAAACTAATTAGTTTTTTACCTAAGTTTCATTTGTCGTGTAAAAGTGGTAAATCAACGTTCATTGATTTAAAAGTACATTTATATATGGTCGTCAGCTTTATTATCACTTGAACTTTTCAAGACTTATTATTGTGTGTCACAATATGCCGAAAAAGTGCTATAACTTTCGATTTAGACCTTATATAATTACTTTATCTCTTTATCAATGATCGACAGTAATAAAACAAGGTTATGTTTTGGCGAAATCCACGTGATGCTGCGCTTCTGGGGCGCGCAATTGAAAGTTCAAAGTGTTTCGCTCAACCGCGTTATCAAGAAAGTAAATATACGAAAGCTAAACTAATAAAACAGTTGCGGTTAGATAATAAATTACAATTTGGACAATTAATCGAAACCAAAGTACAAAAAACTAAGAGATTGCAGTTGGAATCTAAAGGCTTACAACCATTAACTATATCATCAAATGTCAATTCAGAATTAGCCTGGGTATTAGCTCAGAGTCCAAAACTGACTCGAATTAGCTCAAAGAGTGGATCAACAAATTCTCAGGAAAATCATGTTAACTCAAAGACAGAATCAACAAATCAGTCAATCGGTATTGAAGTTGATATAAACTTAAACTGTGATATACCAAAAGTAATTTCTTCGAAAAATATTGTAAAAAATGTAGATAATAGTAAATCAACAAATAAACAAGTTTCAAATGAGAAAAATGAAGCAAATGCAAAAGATAAAAGTCTTGTTTCTAATGATTTACTAAAAGACATATTACAGTATCCTATTATTGAAAACTATAAGAATTGTACTATTGAAGAAGTAGATCCATCACAAATTTTGACAATATCATCTAGGAAAGATAAATCTAGTTTGAATTATCCAAGCGTTACTAAAATATTGACAGCAACTATGTCAGAAGAAGCGAAAGCTGTTCTTGAAGCATGGAAATTGAGAATGATTCAAAAGTTAGGTGCTAGAGGATTTGAAATTTATCAAGCAGGTAATGTTTTGGAATTTTTTTCACTTTACAAAAAAATTTGAAGTAGAATAATACTGACATCAATGACTTCTTACAGAACTACTTGGAGAAGGAAAAATATTACATTCAACGATAATGGACAGATTGATGCAGAAAGAATTTAGTATTCCTGATAGAATAAAACATGCATTTTCAAGTGTCACTAATGTGATAGATATTGTAAATAAAGTTCAAGCCCTCGAGTCATATGTAGTTCATTCCAAACTGCAGTACAGGGGGATAGTGGATTGTGTTGCTGTATATAGGTAAGTAAGAAATTTGGCTTACCAAAGGCTTAGTTTTATCTGATATCCACAGATGTCTTATAGTCGGAATTTTAAGAAAAAATTTTTAAACAAGTTGAATATTTTAGAGACGAATTGTGTGTAATCGACTGGAAAAAATCAGACAAGACCAAAAGTACTATTAGTTCCACATATGATGCTCCATTGCAATTGGCTGCTTACATAGGAGCTATAAATTCTGACCCAAATTATCCATTCCAGGTATTACATTATAAATTGAGTTAGTCGTTTGAACTACTATTATAAAAAAATTATCGTTAATAATATTCACAGTTGAAAAAAGGCCTCGTCGTAGTCGCATACATGTCCGGTAAGCCTGCTGAGGTGCACGAGATCGAGGAGAGTTCGCTGCAGCTATACTGGGAGCTTTGGCTGAAGAGACTACAGAATTATCATTCTATGAATTTCAGTTAACGAACTGTCGCGGCAAACATTGTTAGCGCTGTACATAGACATTGATTTCTTGTCAGACAGTCGCGTAAGTAAAGTCGCGAGGCGCTAGCTTCCTCGAAGCCTCTTTCTCAGAGCAACTTTTTCATTTCCGTGCACTTGTTACTCTTGTCGTAGCTTCTCTCACTGTCGCTCGTCGATATTGGAAAAATTTTCGCTGGCATAGTAAATTACCAGACGCCGACTTGGTCGACGTAAAAAGGTACGACTCTTATTCAGCCTGGACGAGGAAACTTGCAATTGGATATCCGGGCTTGCTCTTTTGCTCGCGCGCGAACTAATAAGCGCGCTCATCGTACATTCCGCGAGCAGGCAATTAAGCGTCAGGAAGTATGAAACAACCCCGGGTGGGCGCAATATTTCATGACGCGGATATGCAAAAATCGATGTTCGCGTCTGCAGCGTTTTTTCTCTCGCCTCGAGCGCAAATCCGCCGATGCGGTTGTGGCCGTAAAAGCGTTCTCATAAAAACCAGCATCCGTATCGTCGCCAACGTGCTGCAGCGCGGCAGATTGACGAGATTTATTTCGTTTCTCAGACACAGAATACAATTTTCTATTGGTTCGCGTTTCGTTTCGTTTTTTTCTGATTCCCTGAAAGTGAACAAAAAATAACACGCTACATATAGCAATTATAAGTTGGGAGGTAAAAAGAGTCAGAGAGAGAGAGAGGAGAGAGATAGTGGAGCAGCGTCCCTCGGCGAGCAACGAGAGGCAGAGGGGCCCTCCCCCTCGGAACGCCCTTGGGGACCGTAAACTAATGGCGGCGCGTATGTGCCGGCGTTATCTCCGGCACTTTGCCGCCTCGAGTGCCGCACCTGCTGTGCAATACTCTGGTGTACTTTATTAGCAGGGCCATCGGGCTTTAATTTTTCAGCGCAAGCGGCGTCTTACGAGCGCTCTTGGATTTTCCATTGTAACTTATTTGACTTTTCAACAATAATAGTTTTATTAATTTTTCAATAGAGACCAGCCATAGGTACGTATGAGAAAAAGATGTTTACGTTGGAGTTCCATCCTCTACCTGTCGACGACGGCGGATGTCGCTTGTATTGATTTCGTCCTGGCTGAATAGACGCGAAGATTGAAACGTATACTTTTCCCATTTGGCTGGCTTTTATTTCTCTATGATGGGAAATATCTTGTTTCAGAGCTTCAGCTAGTTCGACGAATCGCTTTTTCAAATGTGAAAATCGGCTTTTATTACACGAGCGCGCAGGTAGGCTTCTATTAAACCACTAAATTCAATCTTCCAGCTGTAGTTTTTAATCAAAGTGTTTCCGATGCAGGTGAGACTACTGATCGATTCTCTTGCCAGGAATGACGGCAATGAATTTTTCATTTGTCGCGTAATCCCAAACGCGAGGCAAACAACGGCCTCGCATAGCCAGCCGATCAAATGATTCATCGTCGTCCCTTGGCTGCGGTAACGGACGCCGTCGCCCGCTAATACCTCGCTTCCTTCCGCGAACACGCGCATGTGCACCAAAAATCCCATCGATACGCATCGGCGATTTTCCGTCACGCGACCCATCGTCTCTTGTAACCTCGCTCGAGCGAGGCACTTTATCAAAAAAGGTAACGAAAAACATTCGAAGGATATAGACTCGACGTTTCTTGTGGAGCCTGGTTTCTTTGCTTTTTTTCCCTCGAAGCGTCGTTAAAATGTAATTAATCCCGCCCGAGGATAACGGCAGCGCACGCGAGTCAGCAGAAACGTCGCTAATGCGAAGATAGTAGTGACGGTGGTTCCTTCGGGGACAGCTCCGCGCGCATTATTAAAGGGGACTGCATGCGCAATTCATGAGTCGAGAAGCCGAAAGAGAGAGAGAGAGGTGAAGTATTTGATATGGGCTGGCTTGCCTACTTTTATTTCCTGTATCTCTCTATTTTTAAAGTCCCCCGTGGCTTCAACCCCTCCCTTCCCTGGCCTTGGTAGCGAGAAAAAGAAAAGCGTATTCCTCTTGATGAAATCGTAAGAACCTTTTTATGTCGCCTCCAGATGCCGCTGGAGAAAACATTTAATTAATGAACGAAATACAGCCGTTACTTTTATCGCTTGATTCATCGAAGAACGAGAGACATAGAGAGAGAGAGAGAGAGAGAAAGAATAAAAAAATCCTTTTACTCATACACAAGTGCTTCGGATAAATCAGTATACGTCGTCGTGAAAGCAAATGCGGATGATTAATTAATTAGCTAGTGCTGCATCGTGAGAGCAAAGTTTTCTGTTTTCCCGAGAAGTTCGCCTCTTAAAAGAGTCTATACTAGCGAAAGATGCAAAGATTCGAGAGGACAAAGAGTGTCAAACTCTCCGAAGCAGCAGTAAAACTTTGAACACGACTTAAACTTTGCGCGTTGCATCCGGTAGTCTGCTTTATTTCATCGACGCGCTACTACGTTGCGAAAATTAAAAAAAGAAGAAAAAAACGTCCACCGTTGACCAAAGGCTAAAATAATGAAATCGACGAGTTGCGGCGCACATGCAAGCAGCAGATATAACGAGAGTTGCTGGTTGAAAGGAATATCGAACGCACGCGCATTCACTATAGACGAGTTACTCTTCGATGTTAATTAATTATCTGGCAAGCTGATGCTCCCACGTGTCAACCGAGCTGTTTGTCATCCCGAAAAGGGAACGGAAGAGAGAGAGAGAGAGAGAGAGAGAGAGAGAGAGAGAGAGAGAGAGATGTGCGCTGGCACGGGAGTTTTTCAGTTGAAGCTTTGTTATTAATATAAGCATGATGAATCGATGCCCTGGAACGAGTCGATAAAGTGTTTATCGGAATGAAGACGAACTGAGGGGACGTGCTAGAGATTCTTTGTAATTCTAAAGGAACTAGATGACTTAATATTAGATATTTTCCACGATCCATCTGTACAAAATGTAGGGGAGGGTCTATACGACGCTTGCAATAAACAAACTTTGCGCAAAAATATTGAGCTTTTAAGCGAAATTCATGAAAGCTCCCGAGATAAAATATTTTCCTTCATTTTTTCTGGCGTTTCGCGTGTATATGGAAAAAACCAGGTATATGCTAAAAGGGCTGCTCGAGAGCATACAAAGTAGGTATATGCATATAAAGGCAAAGCTCTCCCGTGAATGCCCTTTATACTTACGCAAATAAACAAAAAGTACGAAGGTCTCGTGGGAGCATATCCGCTTTGATAATCGAGTATTTTTATTTATGAATAAATGAGCACCAGGGAAAATCTCGAGTGCTTTGACGTTACGTACGTGCCGGCTTGTCTGAGCGAAAATACATTTACCGTTGTCGTTTGGCAGGGACGGTGCGCGGTTTGCAGCTGAAAAAAATTAACGAGCCAAATTTAATTGTACACCGTACAATTATTCCGAGTGCTTGCGATGCACCCGTGAGTTTCTAAACCATACCCCGTTTATCAGCTTTCAGCTTTGATTCTTCGATCGCAATGCGCAGGTCGCTTCCATTGATTTTTCGACTAACGCGTAAAGCGCACGTGCGCTCGCAGACAAATACCGCTGATACGACGATTTACATAATAATTATTTTTTTTAATTAACATTATTCCAGAAATTAAGGATTATCTAGTGGGTATTTAGCTTCAAAGGGCTATTTTTGATAGCACACAAGGAAACTAATTTTAGCAGCGTCGTTTGCCGCACACATAACAGTTTTAGTGCTTCGAGGGCTAGGTAGTCTCGAAAAAATTTCGTGCTCGGCGCGCACTACAGTGTATAAAATAAGCAACACAATTTCTTTTTTTTTTTTTTTCTTTGTCGGTCGCTCGTTATTTATTAGAGAGCTCCGCACGTGTACAAATACAAAAGAGGAGAGAACCAAAATAAATCAACGTTCTCGCAATGCTGAGCCGTATTCGAAAAAAGAATGAATTGATATTCCCGCTCGTCAATCGACGCCGATAGGGAGAAGAGTCACTGTTTCTCGGACGCGAGTTCTGCAGCAGCCGATCCCGGCAATTTGAAAATCACCGTTGAAAGGTTGCGGATAAACAGAGCGCGCGTACGCGGAGTACGCGGAGTACGCGGAGAGAAAGAAGCAAGGCCTCTCGAGCGGGGAGACGAAGGGGGATGGGCGTGCAGCGTAGCGCGCAAAAAGGCCAGCTAATAAACGCCAAAGTAAGCAGAAAAGAGGGGTCGCGGACGCGGAGAAAAGGTCCGCGAGTGCACGGCATATACGTGCGCTCTTCTCTCATCTCTGGGTGTAGGTGGGTAGTCAAGGGCTCGAGTCACTGCTGTGGGCGCAGCAGCGCAGTGAGCAATTGTGCACGCAGCAATCTATAACCTGGAATTCACGCACGCTCTTGTTGTTGCTCACTTCCGCCGCATTGTGCAGCGTTTTGTTGCGGACCGAAAAACATTTTTGTGCGCTCGGCGCGCGTGGAAAGCCCGTGGATTTACGGGCACCGTTTTTTCGAATAATCCCGCCGCGCGCGATGGCAAGAGAGGACTCCGCATTAGCATGGAGATTTTCGATAAAAACATTCGCGCCCGTCCATAACTTACTTCTCTCGCCGCGCGCGTATGGGCAGAAACTCGGGAATCCGCGGCGAGGCACGCGGAATCACTCGGCAGCATTGATTCGCTGGCTCCGGTCTCTTGGTGCGCCGGAGAGGGGCTTGGAGCTGAAAAATGGCAAAAACTTTGCGAGCTATAACTTTCCGCGGGCGTACGCCCGGGGGACGATAGTACGGGATAGGGCGCGGGATAGGTAGCGCTCTCTTTTCTCGGTTGCGCGCGTGCAACGCGGCTCGCCGGGCTGGCTCTCAAATCGATTTTCCGGAAAGACATCGGATTAAGAGGACGCCGCCGCCGCCGCCGCCTGCTTGGCCGTTCGAATTTTCTACCGGTCTTCGGGCTGCGGCGCGGCTAATTTAATGAGCCCTTCCGATCGCGCGCTCTCTCGCTCTCTCTCTCTCCCTCTCTCCTCTCGCGAGTATCTATTAGCGTTAATTGCATTACAGTAGGCAGCAGGGGACCAGCTCGACGCTTCGCGTATCGGACCGTAATCAAGCCAATGTTTGGTTCAGTAATATAGGGTCGTGAGCGACGATATCGGCGTACGGGCAATAGGCCAGCTCGCGTGCACGGAGAAACCGTTGGCTTCGTTGCAAAGCGGAGCCGCGCGCGGCAAAAGTAAAGAAAGACCGCGCGCGGCTTGCCGAGTCCTGCGGTGGATCATGCGACGCAGGAGAGCGCGCCGCTATAATCCGCGACGACGGCTTATTTAAGGCCGGGATTTGCCGAACGTGATCTGGATAGGTTGTCGTCTACCTCGAGAGGACAAGTCCCCAGGGACGCTCCCTTTGCCGGCGCCGCGCCGTGGCGGTAGGCTCCGAAAAATTCTATTTGGCCGCGCTCGCTCGCGCTTTGATCTCGGCTTTCCAGCAAAGTGGGCCAGCCTTTATGAAGTACGTGTCGCGCATCGGCTATAGCGCCGCACGCCGGCAATTAGGGGAAACGAAGTTATTTACGTACAGCGAGCAGCGCCGGCGAAAGCCTTATCTGTGCGCGGGCCGAGCGAGAGATGGCGAGAGCGTCATACGCGAGACAATTGAAAAGTTTTTGAAAGGGACTCCGCGCGGCATCGAGGCGCGAGGGCGCGAGGGCGCGAGGGCGCGAGAGAGAAAGGCGCCGGCCCAGGTGGGCACGAACTCGCGCTCAATCTCGACAGCTGCTGGCACGCGCCGCCGCCCGAGACGGACTAAACGACGCTACGCTCGCAGTGTAACGAGTCTTTAACAAGATATTTATGAATTATGCAGCGGAGAAGCGAGCTGCTTTGTTTAACGGCGTAAGCTTATTAGGGGAGCGCCGCTGCTGATATTTTTCCGAGGTATTACGCTGTGTGCGGGGCCGGATTACTTCATTTCTTTCTTCCCCGTCCCCCCTTTTTTCACTTTCACTCTGTACATATTTCAGAGACAGCCGGCAACATTGCTCGGCTTTTCTTGATAAAAAGCAGCTTTCCGGGCTTTCAGCCGCGTATCGGGGAGAACAATTTTGTTGCTGGCCAACGGAATATTCGAGTGCGATCATGCATAAAAGATCCGGCTACTACGCCGGCTCAATTTGTTTCCTCGGAATAATAAACTATTTCATTTGTGGCATAAAAGGATTTCCCATAAAAGCATGCGCATTGTCAACGGCTCCTTTCGCTCTCGCGTTCCCTTCGGACGTATTCTTCGGGGGACTTGCGGGACTTTTCGCTCGGCGTGCTTCGTCCTCCTCGAAAACACTCCAAAAACTGGCTGCTAATTGCAGGTGCGAACTGGCATTTCAATTGAACCCGCTCTTATCTGGAAAGCAATAAGATGCGGAAAACACAGACTAGTATTTTTGCCGGAATAAGCATCGGACAAATATGCTAATATAAATGCAGGACAAGTCCAATTAACTAAGCCGCACTTGACCCCCTGGAGCGCATTACCATAAAGCCGTACGTGGAGGATGAGCCGACTACGAGCGTCGTAAAAAGAAAGAAAAAAGGTGGAAAGTAACCGAGGGATGCCTGATGGTCGTATTGTGCGAACGAGAGCGAGACCAGTCTGCGCCGAGAGTCCATTCGGCGGCTGTTAGCGATTGAGGCAGTTAAAGCTTGCGAGCGAAACGCTTAGCTGCACCGCAGACATTCGACCCTGGACTCGTTTGGCAGCGCGGCGCCTTGCACGTAACTCTCTCGTACACGGGGAAGAATGGCCTCCCATCTCGCTTCATCGATTTGCTTGCCGGCTTGCCGGCTTCGACCCTTGTCGATTTTCACCGGCGCTGCTTGGCATTCGATTGCAACCCAGATCGAGTCTTCTCTTTCGGGCTCTCGCGGCGCGGGAATAGGCTGATTTATCGTCGATGCGCAGGACAAGCGCGCGATGATAAACGCGAGCGCGCGGTCATTAATCACCGCGCGCGTTATCAAAAGTCTTTGCCGTCGCGACGTTCGCACGACGAGAGAGCGAGTCGACCGATCCGACTAATTAGATTGGACGTCCGGCCGCGAAGAGGTCCGCAGTCGCACGCATAATTCGATGATCGCCGAACGTAATCCCTTTGAATGCCGAAAGCTCCGAGCTTTTACTTCGTTACTCGTGTCTCCCTCCTTTTGCTTTTTCCGTGCGCAGCTCTCGATTGCCAATTGGCCGCTGTTCTAAGTGAGACCCGATAAGGTCAATTAAGTGGACCTAGCGCCACGATGAATTATTTCGATTCTCTTACCCTCTCGCTTTCTCTTTCGCTCAGCCTAGCTCCTTTTTTTCATTTTGCTACACACGCCGAAAGTTTTTTTCGAGGGACAGTCGGTTTCACATCCACAAGAATCGAGTGACTTATTTAATTTTTCACTGGATAAGAACCTCACCTCTATTTCTTTCTAATTCTCCTTTCAGAAATATTCTATAATTCATTGTTTAATTGTTTCTAACTTGGCCTGATAGTTTTACGGTTTAGATACATTTCACACGGTCGCTTTAATATATTTACGAAAATGGCCAACATCATGATCTAAATTTACAACCTGTATTCCTGACTAATGCCTGCATTAATTATATATAGGCACATGTAATGTAGAATTTCGTTTTATTTACTCGCTTCATTTCTCTAATACCATA